AGGCTATAAGCTAGGGCATTCCCTTCATACATTTACCTGCCAGCCCATTTTCCTGTCTTACTTTAAATGTAATGTTTGTCAGAAAAGAATGGATGATATGTAAATTCTGACCTCCTGTCAGCTCAGAACGTGTTTGTCCCTCAACACCCTTTTTTGTAAAGACGGACCACTTGAGCATATAATACATTTCCGTCAAAATAACCGGTCCTCGAATTTTATCCATTTTAATTATTGGGGAACTACAATTACTTTTCTGCAGTGGAATTAGCTGTGCACCGGTGAATACAAATTTCATAGGACCAAACAATGCAGATTTGATATTCACATCACAAATGCCCACATACAGAGAAAAGGAGCTGAAACACGTTGGGCTGAACCTTACGCTTTTTTTTGGCTGAGTGTCAGTTTCATCGAATTTCACGGGTTTCTCCCTGCAAGGTCTAGTGTGTTTTCATGCTGCATCTTACCAAACACGCCACATTTCCTACTCCCTCAGCCCATGGCAGTCCACTTGTCTGATTCGAGTGCCATTCTACCATTCGCCAAACCTGAAACAACTTGCTACTGTCAGGAGACCCCAGACTGGTATCCCTTTATGCACTCAGGCAGGTTAAGCTGTGGCACAGAGTTGCTGACATTTGCACTGGATGTGTTAGACATGGGAAGACCAGCAGCTTGCTTGAGGACGGGGTCTTGGTGGTCCAGGTTAACAGGGATGGTACAGGGGCAGGACATCCTCTTCCTCCAGGACCAGCAATGGAGACCACAAAGCCAGAGAATAGCAGCCTGTTCCAAGGTTGCCATCCAAGTCAGAACAGCCTCAGCCATTTGGAAGAGCGCACAGCACTGCGGGAAAAACAGCGGCACAGTGGCTCAGTGGTTAGTACTGCTGCCCCACAGCGCTAGGGATCCAGGTTCGATTCCAGCTGTGGGTGACTGTCTGTATTTGTAGAGTTTGCATGTTCTCCCTGTGTCTGCATGGGTTTCCAGCACTGAATCCCTCACTATCAATACCCTGAGGGTTACTGCTGACCAGAAACTCAACTAGACTCACAGCGTAAACACAATGGTTACAAGAGCACATCAGAGGCTAGGAATACTATGGTGAGTAACTCACATCCTGACACCCAAAAGCCTGTCCACCATCTACAAGGCACAAGTTGGAAGTGTAATAGATACTCCCCACTTGCCTGGATGGGTACAGCTCAAACAACACTCAAGAAACTTGGTACCATCCAATGCTCAGTAGCAGTAGTGTGTACTAGATACAAGATGCACTGCAGAAATTCACCAAAGACCCTCAGACAGCACCTTCCAATGCCACAACCACTTCCATCTGGAAGGACAAGGGCAGCAGAAACATAGGAACACCACCAGCTGCAAGTTCCCCTCCAAGCCACTCACCATCCTGACTTGGAAATATATTTACCATTCCCTCACTGTCGTTCAAAATCATGGAATTCCCTCCCTAAGGGCATTGTGGGTCAACCTACAGCACAAGAATCACAGTGGTTCAAGAAGGCAGCTCGCCAACACCTTCTCAAGGCCAACTATGGACAGGCAACAAATGCTGGCCGGACAGCAACGTCCATGTCCCATGAGAGAATAAAAAAAGCCCAGGTAAGTTAAGGCCCCTATAAGATTCTGCCCATTTTTACTGGTCTCTCTGGCATACCTAAGCATACTTTATTGAAGACACTTAACTTCGAAGGAGATTTTCTTCCAGCTTGTTCCAGATTTCTAACTCTGACATTTTTTAAAAAATGAGAATATCTTTATTCAAAGTGTGCAAACCGCAGACATGAGTTAAGACAGATGCCCAGAGCAGGCACTTGATTCTGCTACAATTGCCTTTGGGTAAATTTGCTGCCGTCATCCCTTCTTGTAATACTAGTCTACAGGGCTTACTCATATTAATTGGTGCAGAATTAACTCCAAATATGTCTTTAGCACAACAGTCACATACATGAGTAACAAGAAGTAGTTTATTTTGTAATAATAAGATTATAGGTTACACTAGTTTAAGACAGGTTAACTATGTTAACACTTAGCTTAGCGACATTGTTACTTCCAAATAGATAATGGCTAGATCTATGCTACATGGCTGTAACCTGTGGAACTGACTAGCTCATCTCAGAGACGGTCATTTATGAATCAGTGGGTGGATTCCAAGTTAATCATTAAACATAGACATCCACATCTGCAAAGAGAATTCACCAGAATTCCCAGCACATGATGGTGGTGGTGATGGGTGGGTGAGGAAGGGGGTGGTGGCAGGGGGTGCTCTCCTAAATTGTCCCTCCTTCAGTGCAAAGTCTGTTCCACTAGTCCACCGCCTCACCTCCACAATGACCTCTCAAACCTCAGCCCCCATGTCCTTCTCACCAGTTTGGCAACTGGCAAAACCTCCAAACCCTTCCCTAAATCCCAAAGCCAACACTGCATGCCTCCGGCACAAAAGACTGGAAAGCTGCTGACTTCCTGTTCCTGAGGGTCAGAAATTAAGCCTAATAAACGCAGATGGCGACAGAGCAACCAGAGTTCCCTTAGTCAGGACCCCCTGCCTGACCTTTTAGCTGGAGTGTGGGGCTGGGGCAGGGGTGCCGATGTGGTGGTCTTAGCAGGGAATTCAGCACCTTGTACAATTCAACTTAAGCATTTTCCTCTTGGCCATATTTTGTTTGGCTTGTCATTTCATCCTAATTCCTCATCTTCCATGAGTTAGCAAGTAAATGGAATGATAATCAGATGGGTTATATCCTGCATTAACAACTCTGTTTCAAAACAGAATGGAAATTGAGTGCGTTCTAATTATGCATGTAATCCACTCTGCCAGATTATCACCCTCATGGTGAAGGTGAAAATTATTCTCCTTGAGTGCTCTCTTTTCTCAATCTAGTTCTGCTTTGGTGCCGAAAATAATACTGCAAAATTGACCCACAAATTTTGAGTTCACGAGCAAAATACATCATGGCATGTTCTTAGCTGTTTTGAGCAGATTAAGATCAATTAGCCCCAGTATATCTGAATTGTTTTAATTAGATTACTTCAGAAGGGCCCAAATGTGACCTACTTTGGATGAGTTTAGATTCATCTGCAATACTGTTACATGTTGCATCATCTTTCAGCATTGGAAAATATTTAGTGAGTGATTCTGCTGCTGTGGCAATGCCTGAACTGTAAAAGTTCATATTCTTGATCTCAAACCCCTTCACAATCTCATCCAATCCATTCCTGTGTCCTTCTCTAGCACTTAAAACCATTTGCAATAAGCACTCTTCCATTTTTGGCATCTTATACTTTCCTAATTTTATTCATTGTACCATTAGCTGCCACACATTAAGCTGTCTAGGCCTCAAGCTCTAGAATTTCCTCCCCTAACCTCTCAAAATCTCTGATTTCCTTTAACACACTCCTAAAAATACTTATCTCTTCCATCAAGCTGTTAGTCCTTTTGTGACAGTGTCAAATTTTGTGTGGTAACTCACACTTGAAAACTCCCTGTTTTAGGGTTATTTTTATTTATTCAGGGAATGTGGATTTCACTGGCTAGGCCAATATCTACTGCCCATTCCTAATTGCCCTTAAGATGGTGGTGATCAGCTGCATTCCATTTGGTGTAGGTACACTCACAATGCCAATAGGAAAGGGGTTCTAGGATTTTGACCCAGAAACAGTGAAGGAACGGCAATGTATTGACAAGTCAGGATGGTGCGCAGCTTTGAATGGAAATTTCAGTGGTGGTGTTCCCACGTATCTACAGCTGTTACCCTTCTAGAGGGTAGTGGGCATGAGTTTGGAAGGTGTTGTCTGAGGATGTTTGGTGAATTTCTGCAGTGCATCTTGTAGATGTACACACTGCTGCTAATGTTGGAGCAAGCAAATGTTTATGGATGTGGTGCTAATCAAGCAGGCTGCTTTGTCCTGGATGGTGTCAAGTTTGAGTGTCGATGGAGCTGCACTCATCCAGGCAAGCTGTGAGTATTCTATCATGCTCCATATATGCCTAGCCTGACCTTACAGGCAGGCTTTGGAGAGTCAGGAGGTGAGTCACTTGCTGCAGAATTCCCAGCCTCTGAGCCACACTGT